AGGGAGACTCTGCCTGTCTTGTCGCGGTGCAGGTCTGCTTGCACTTAGATGCTGACATGTTTCGCGATGTGTTGCTCAGCGCCGAGTCGTCGACTCAGAGACAGCACCTGCCCGGCTTCCCCGCCCTCGACCTCGCACCAAGAATGGCCGCCGGCAGTCCTGTGAAGACCTCCGAGCTCCCGCTTGACTTGGTGAGCCCAGCAGTTGAGGTGGATGCGCCTCTGGACGACCGGGACATCGAGCTGGTGCAGACGACCTTCGCCAAGGTGGCCGCTGTAGGTCCTGAGGCTGCAGGCCGCATCCTCTTTGGCCACATCTTCCGCATCGCGCCGGAGGCGAAAGGCCTGTTCTCGTTCGCGAAGGACGAGGAGACGATGTGGCTGCCTGGAAGCCGACTGGAGAAGCACGGGGCGAGGGTGGTGACCACGGTGGGGACGGCAGTGTCGCTACTGAAGGACCTCGACACGTTGGTGCCCGTGTTGCAGAAGCTGGGCTTGCAGCATGTTGGCTACAATGTGCTGCCAGTCCACTACGATGTGGTCGGCCAGGCTTTCATTGCCACCTTGGAGGATGCGCTGCAAGCGGAGTTCACCGAGGCTGTCAAGAACGCCTACGTCAAGGTGTGGAACGTCGTGCAAACGACCATGATCGGAGACAACTACACCACGTCCTTCTCCTACTGCGTGATTGCATGAGGGCTGTCCTCGCATGAGTTCATGACCTTTGGCGCCGAATTTGTCCAGAAGCAGTTGATAGCTTTCGGAAGTTCCCTGTGCGTTGTGATGGTCGGAGACCTCACAGTGCTTACAGTGCTATGCAAAGTGGCAGCCCGAGAGGATTCCTGGCAGACCTTTTCCCATGCAGGGAGTCCTCCCGTCCGTAGATCCGGAGCTGGAGCTGCCAAGGAAGTGAAAGGAGTCCGGAGAGGAGGGATCAGAAGCTGAGGGTTCAGGGTTTAGGGTTTTAGGTTTTTAGGGTTTTAGGGATCCAGAAGCGCAGGGTTCTCAGATAGCCCCAAACCCCCCAAAAAAACCCCATGCTCTCCCTTTGCCGCCAGGCTGCTACGACAAGAGCGAAGACGCTCCGGAGCTGGAAGCTCCCGAAACCCGTTCGGAGTTTTTTTGGAAAAAAAACAGGCCCCCGGCGGTGTTTTAGGACAAGTTTTTACCGAGATAGCCAGGTTGGGACGCACTCCGGCCGTCGATCTCTTCAGAGAGGCGGGGTTGAGAGTAGTATATGCTTTTGAATCATTACCAATATTACCTGATGTGTTCTGAATTAATTGTTTGTTTTTGGAGGAGCCGACAACCCGATTCTAAGTATGAGCCCCTGTATAATTTTCAGGGTTAAAGAGTTTAGGGGCCTGGGTGTTGTGGCTTTTCGAGCCCCTGGTTCAGGGACATGTAGAGTGGCTGAAAAAAGGGCGTTGCCTTTCAACAACGCGATGTCGCCCGTTTTCAACGGCATTGCCAGTTGAGGGCATGGTTCAAATGGAAGGTGGTTCAAAACAGAGGTCGGATCACTTTCAACCCTCAGCCGCTCAAGTCTAAGTAACGGCATCTCAGCCTAGGAACGGCCCGACCCAAGCAACGTTCAAGGAAGCTTCGGAGAATTTCGGAGCAATCTGCGCAAATAGGGGCAGGGGTGGCAGACGTGTTTTGAGCAGCGGCGAGTCTTCGGCCTTCGAGCGTTAAACGCTTACTTCTGTTGCTGAGACGGATAACCCGTCACTCCCTTTGGGGCCCTGTTGCACCGACTTGTACGACCCTCACCCCGATTCCAGTCCAAATCCCGCGCTCTCGTATCTCTTCGCTCTGCCTGTGCGTGAATGGCCCTGACACCCCAAAACCCTAAGCCCTAAACCCTAAACCCTAAACCGTTCACCACCTTCCCCGTGCCGGTTATACTTTCGAACATGAAGAGCACGTGCGAGCACGAGTTGTAACTGATTTCGGCACGCGCAGGCAAACGAGCACGGAAAAGTGCAACTCGTTTGCCACCCTATAAAAACCTATAAACCCTATAAGTCATATAATCCCTATAAACCCTATGAACCCTATTGCAATGCTCCGCTCTCAGAGGGAGACAGCAGCACTTCTGACCTCTTCGCTGGCCTCGGCATCCTTCAGGGGTGTTTTTGGGGGGTTTCTAGGCTTCCTTTTAAAGGGGATCCTTAAAGGGATCTCTAAGGGGTTTAGGGTTGAATGCCTCCCTTCAACCTTTAAAGTGGGATGCTGTGCCACTAGTCAGTCGTGTGCGGAGTAGGACGTAGTTAGACTGTGCATCCGCTTGGCACTGAGTTGTCGTGCCAGGATGCCGGCATCCTCGAAACCTACGTGGCACCCATGGCTCTCTCGGTGGACTCACAGGTGCCTTAATGACAGCCATGAGCGCTTCGCCTCAGAAGATGCGATGTCTGAGAATTCGGCATCAGGCTTAGGTAGATCCCTGCAAGCATCAGTGTTTGGCACTGAACGCACTCTGTCTGTGCACGGTCATAGATCCTGCAAGCCATCTGTCTGTTGGATTTTAGCAGTCTTCATCAGATCGCGACGTAACGACAATCATGGGTTTGCACATGCCCGGCATTGACCACGGTACGTTTGAGAAGAGCTGGAAAGGACTCGTACATCATCATATCCGATAACATCATGTGCTGTATGACTCTGCATGCTGTAATGCAAAGGCATAGGCCATGAACTACAATATGTATGATCGAACAGCCCTATCACATCATTATCATGAAAGGACTCCTGGCTATCTCCTGGCTAGGAGATCGCCCCGAGTATCCAGGCAGCTGAATCTGTATCAACTTGATTCGTTGTAGCTGTCTATACAGCGCCAATCCACGCCCTGCTATAAGCCCCACACCCTAAACCGGATAAACCCTAACCCCGATTAGAAGCTTTCTATAAGCCTAGACATAACCCAAAACCCGATTTAGAAGCCTTCTATTAGCCTGAAAAGCCCTCCTGGAGGCCTGGCGCGTGTGCACTGAGACCTCTTTCTTCCTCACGCTCCGAACCTGGAGAGCTTTTTTTGACGGCTGCGGCAACCTCTCGATCTGGAAGAAGCCTGGTCCGATGTTGGACGATGGCCTTTTTTGTCGGGAAGCTTCTGTAAACTGGAGATCTGTGGCTTCGTCCCTGCATTGGACCGCGGTATGGCGCGGTCCGACCTCTGCCAGGGAGTTGCACTTACTCGGCTCCCTGGCTCTCGCTTCCGGTGAGCCGCTGCGGCAGAAAAGCCCGGCAAGGCTGTCAGAACGGTCCATGCGGCCTGGACCATTGAACTTCGGAGCTCTATCTGACTGAAAGGCGATGCAAAAGAGGTCGGCTGCTGCTACTCCTGTCGATATTGCAGCAGATAATCAGATCAAGTGGGAGGTTAAAGTTAAGTTCGGCTTGTCTTGAGTACCGTACTCTTACCAGGAGGACTGTGAGAGTCTTAAAGTGCTATCCTGGTAGTTTGCCGTGGAAAGCATCGGATCCACGGATCCACGAAAACGGCAAAGGGGCGTTGGACAACGTACGGATAGGTCAGGAGTCTGCATGCGATACTTTCTATAGTCTCCATTGTAGTTCCTTTTTGGGGTTACCTTTATTTGATCCCAAATGCATGCTTGGCTAACCCAAAAAAGAACTACAATGGATACACTATAAGTATATAGTCTGTCAAATCATTTTATGCTGTCTTCCATGACAGTACCTTCATGTACGTCTTAAGCTCTCACTGGCCTTGCGACCCTAAACCCTAAACCCTAAACCCCTAAACCCCTAAACCCCTAAACCCCTAAACCCCTAAACCCCTAAACCCCTAAACCCCTAAACCCCAAACCCCAGGGCTTTTAGGGTTTAGGGTTTCCCTAAAGCCCCAGGCGCGCAACTTGTTGTTTTTTTTTTTCCCATGCTCCGCACCACACGCCGGGCCGTGCTCAAAAGGACCTGGCGACGTCCAGATCCCCTGGCGCCCCACAGGGTTCCATTCTTCGAATCCTTGTGCCCGGTGGTCTTGTATTTGGGGGGGTTTAGGGTTTAGGGTTTAGGGTCTAGGGTACTAGAGCCTCGAGAGAAGCTGCACCAATTTTCTAGGCGAGCGCAGACTGCAAGGCTTAGCACGGCGCTCCATGCAGCAAAGGCATGGAGATCAGAAGCCAAAGTAAGTCCAGAAAGACACCTTAGTGGGGTCTTCCAGCGCTGAGCTTTCAGGCTTCGGGGTTTAGGGCCTAGGGTTTAGGGTTTAGGGTTTAGGGGTCCCCTTCTTAGAGGCTTCCAAGGAACCGCAGAGGGCAGAAGGCAGCCCCTTGGTCCGATTTTGGGCTGGCCGACAACTTGCCGAGCCTGGGGCCCCAGGGTCTCCTCACTCTTGGTTTAGGGGTTTAGGGGTTT